AATCGGCAGGCCATGATTACTTATTTGTGGAGATCGTGCCCAAGTGTCGTGCGGAACCCAAGGAACGGCCCGGATCCCCGCTGGAGCGTCCACGTGGACTTTGCAAACTCCCCACTCCTCCGCTTGGCCCAGCTGAGGACTGAGGAGTTGGGGGGCTTATGATGGGCCGATATCCAGAGGACGGCCCAAATGAACCATTTAAACAGCTTCGGGTCAAGCACCTGTGGAATACTCAAGCTGGGCCGGCCCAAGGAGCTGGGCCTAGTTAACTTCAGGCCAAGCGCAGCTGGCAGAGTCAGTCCGGAGAAGGAGACGGAGCTGATTGGCCGTTACGGAGCCGGAAAAAGGGGATCACGCCCTTTGACGGGCTAAACTCCATCGGTTACGCTTCACCTTAAGGGTGGAGAGCTCGCGTATAAATAGAAGGGACCCGAAAGGGGAGAACTCAAGCTAAATCCAGCTAGTAATACACATCCAATTCTCGAATTCTTGTTCTTAATTTTGTTTTTACGATCCGCTCTGTAAACCGGATCATTTGGTGGATTTATTGTCCATCATATACAATTCATCTACTGCATCTTTAACTTGGTTGGAACATTTGGACGAATTGAGAAGATAAAAACAAAGAACAGATTGAGAAAAGAGCTTGAGATTTTTCGAGCTCCAAGTATAAACAGTTCAAGGTGCAGAACCTATGTAATCTGTATTATCTTTTTGTTGCTTTTAAAGGACACCATTGATGCTCTTATTTCATGTTGTTATAATGGATTGAAGATTATATTTTTTCTATAGTTCATTGGTTCATCACGTTGGGTCTTGGTTTTCTAATTTTTTTAGTGATTTTTGTTTTGGGTTGGGTTGTGCTTTCCAGGTTCTGTCTATAGGTTTCTCCCAAGCAGAATGTGCAACTTTAGACACTGGATATTAATTCAACTTTTAGTTTTTTTTTTTAAATTTTTGCATTGTAAGTCATCTGGTTTTTGGCTTCAAGATTCTGCAAGCAGCGCAGTCTGCTTTCTTTTTTGGAGTAAACGTGGCTGGTAATGTGTTACTTTTACAACCATTTTAGGTTTAAAAGCCCCAGGTTAAGAGTATAGGTTAGTTGTGATAGTTTTTGTGGTCCGGATACGGTTTGGCAATATAAACCCCTTTCCTATATATTTAAGGGTATAGAAATGAATCCAAATATCTTCCCTCAAAGAAAAAAGAAACCTATAAAAATTGGTGAATTTTTAACCCAAGATTCAAGTCTCTGTGTATTTGAAGATTCATATAAATAATTTATTTTATTTGTTAATATGTTGTATCATTCTGTCTCAGCCTTTTCATATCAGTGTCATAGACATCAAAACGTTTTCATCCCTTTGAAAATAAAAACACACGCACAACAGAGTTTAAAATTCAGATTTTCAGAGTTTCATTTGACAATTCTAATTTGATTTATTTAATTTATTGCATAATTTTTAATGTAAGGTATTCACAAGATTTTGATTCCTTTGCTTTACCTGCAGTGTGTGATTTCTCAACGGGTTTGGCTTCTCATTTACTTGAAATCATTTTAGCTAATATTGAACTTGCATCTAATGATTTTATAATTACATTTGGTGGAATGCATATATACATTCGTTCCATTATTGTTTATGTTAATCTTTCAGTGTCCTTCACCTTCCATGTGCTTTAAGTGTTCTTCCTTGATATTAATTACTCTTTATTTTATTATCCCATTTTTTGTGTGGCAATGTTAGAACAAGATTCATTGTTATATGTAATCTTATGGTTGATAATCTCAATAATTATGGAGAAGCAAAGTAGTAAATATTGAGATCCTACCACTAACACTAGCTTTTGTTGTTATAATACATTTGGAATTTCACTTTCAAAATTTGAAAATTACTATAAGGGTGTAAGCGGATTAGAGTAGGTGCTCAAGAGATGAGTTTAAGTAAGAGATTTTTTTAAACGGAACGAAAATTAAAAGTAAAATTATGTCTGTTTCATATAAGGAAACAACAAAAAAAGTCTCTTCTTTAGAAGGAAACTATGGTGTGTATTAAAAATTATTCTGCGGATAAAAACCAGTCTCTCTTCTTTATCTAAGGAGATCCACAGCTATTCGGTTGATGCAATGTTATAGCAAGATAATCCTTGCTATAAGGATTGCAGAAATAGCGGATGAGACGTAAGGAAGAAGAAAGATCAGAAGATATTTTGAGAAGAGAGAGAAGGGAGAGAAGATATTTTGAAAAGAAGATTGTGTTATTCATGTTTATCAATGAGAGTATACAGCAGTATTTATACACAAGCTTACGGCTACAACCTCTAACAGTATTACAACTGATTCAACTAACTACTAGCCACGTCAGTTAAGCTAGCTGTAGCATTGCTCCCTTCCCCAAAAAGACTTGTCCTCAAGTCTGAAACTCTGGGTATGTAGCCAGAAATTCCTCTGCAGGTTCCCAAGTAGCCTCTAGGTTGCTATAGCCTTCCCACTGAACCAAATATTGAACCTGGGCTTTGTTTTGTACCTTTTGTATCCTCCTATCAAGTATAGCTGCTGGTTTAGGATGACTCCCAGCATTTTGACCTTGGAACCATGCTGGAATATGGACTGCTGTAGGTAAGTTGCCCCTAAATTGCTTAAGTTGAGAGACATGAAACACATCATGTATGCACGATTGAGCTGGCAACTTAAGCTTGTAAGCCACCTGACCAATAGTTGCAGCAATTTGAAATGGCCCAAAGTACTTAGGGGAGAGTTTGTTATTGCTTCTATGTTGAACAGATTGCTGTCTGTAAGGTTGCAACCGAAGCCAAACCCAATCTCCAACCTGAAAGCTTCTCTCAGATCTGTGTTTGTCAGCCTGGATCTTCATCCTATTTTGTGCACTCACCAAATGAGCTTTTAGTTGGTCAATCATCTGCTGCCTCTTTTGCAAACTTCTGTCTACTGCCTCTATCTTGGATTCCCCGGGAAGATAGGGTAAATACCAAGGAGGAGGTTGACCATAGACAATCTCATAAGGAGTAACCTTAGTAGCAGTGTGGTAGTGGGTGTTATACCACCATTCAGCCAATGGTAACCACATACACCAATCTCCTGGCTGATTCCCACACATACACCTTAGGTACATCTCCAAACATTTGTTCACTACTTCTGTCTGCCCATCTGTTTGGGGATGATAAGCTGAAGATAACAAGAGATCAGTTCCTTGGAGCGAAAATAAGCCTTGCCAAAATTGACTTAAGAATACAGCATCTCTGTCACTTACAATACTCCTTGGCCACCCATGCAACCTAAACACCTGATCCAGATAAGCTTGGGCCACTTCTAAAGCTGTAAAAGGATGTTTGAGTGGAATGAAATGAGCATACTTGCTGAGTCTATCAACCACCACCAAAATCACCTCTTTTCCCATGGACTTAGGTAAGCCTGTAATAAAGTCCATGGAAATATCCAACCAAATTCCTTCAGGGATAGGTAAAGGCTGTAATAACCCTGGACTGGCAACATTCTCATGTTTAGAGGCTTGGCATGTTAAGCAATTCCTCACATAGTGACTCACTGTCTTAGACATGCCTTTCCAGTAGAATAAGGCCTTTACCTTTTTTAGTGTGCCATCCCTTCCAGAATGTCCCCCTTGGACTATCATGATGCCACTTGATGATGTTAGTTTTCAACTGCTCATCAGGACCTATCACCAATCTTCCTTTTCTTCTTAGATAGTCACCCTGATATGTAAAGTTCTTGATAGGATTAGACTGCTTGAGGGCTTGGATGATGTGCACCAGATTCACATCTAATTGATAACTTTCTTGAATTGATTTTCCCAGATCTGAGGACACCACAGAAATTGCCAAGGCCATCAACTCTGAACCATGTACCCTGGATAAGGCATCAGCGGCCACATTTTCCTTTCCACTTTTGTATACGATTTCGTAGTCAAACCCCAACAATTTTGATAACCAAAATTGCTGAAAAGGTGTGGAAACCTTCTGTTGTAGGAGCCACTTCAAGCTCTTCTGATCAGTTCTTATGATGAAATGGCTGCCTAACAAGTATTGCTCCCATTTTTGTACAGCAAGGACAATAGCCAGTAACTCCTTTTCATATACTGATAACTTTTGCCACTTTGGTCCCAAGGCCTTGCTGATGAATGCTATGGGATGTTGTTTCTGCATAAGAACAGCCCCAATCCCCTGTTTGGAGGCATCTGTTTCAATTTCAAAGGGTAGGGTAAAGTTAGGGACTGCTAGCACCGGGGCTGTAGACAGTGCCAATTTGAGAGAATCAAAGGCCATTTGTGCAGAATCAGACCATAGGAATGCTCCTTTCTTTAAAAGGTCAGTTAGCGGTTTGCTGATCATAGCATAGCCCTTTATGAACTTTCTATAATAGCCTGCCAATCCTAAAAAACTCCTTAGCTGTTTGATGGATATAGGGGTTGGCCAGCTAGTAATGGCATCAATTTTTGTAGGGTCTGTCTCTACTCCCCTGGCAGAAATAAAGTGGCCCAGGTACTCCACCTTGTCACTCATGAAGGTACATTTACTCAACTTTGCATACATCACATTATCCTTCATGAGCTGAAAAACTTGTTGCAAATGGACCAAGTGCTCCTCCTTGCTCTTACTGTATACCAAGATATCATCAAAGAAAATCAAAACAGATTTTCGGAGTAAGGGTTTAAAAACCTCATTCATCCAACCCTGAAATGAGGCAGGGGCATTGGTAAGCCCAAAGGGCATCACCAAAAATTCAAAATGCCCCGTATGAGTTTTAAAGGCTGTTTTGAAAACATCTTCAGGGTGGATCCTCAACTGATGGTAGCCAGACCTTAGGTCCAGTTTGGTAAACACTACGGCACCTGCAAGCTCATCAATTAGTTCATCCACAACCGGAATTGGGAACTTATTCTTTATGGTCTTACTGTTAAGTTCTCTGTAATCAATACATAACCTCCAGGTACCATCCTTCTTGCCAACTAGTACCACAGGTGAGGCAAAGGGGCTAGCACTGTGTTGTATGATTCCTCTATCCAACATTTCTTGTACTAGTTGCTCAATAGTGTCCCTCTGCTTTAATGGATACCTGTAGGGCCTGATATTAACTGGTCTAACCCCAGGTTCTAAGGGTATTCTGTGATCGAAGACACCCCTGTGGGGAGGTAACTCGTTTGGATCTTCAAATAAACTGCTGAAGTCTTTCTTAAGGGCCTCAATCTTCATGTGCATGTTATCATCCTGGCTAGAGGAGCTACACTGTAACATCCCTGGAAACCCTTCTTCCTGTCCATTATTCATCTGAAGGAGACAAAATTGGATGGAATTAGCAAAGGTTTTAGATGTAGGCATCCCTTCCCTCACTTTTATCTTTTTGCTCATAACACCTTTCAACGTAAAGGGTTTGTTCTTCCAGTTGAATCTCATTGTCAATTCTTTAAAGTCCCAATAGACTGGCCCCAATGTTTCCAACCACTGTACTCCTAGGACCATATCACAACTCCCCAATGGAATTAGTAACACATCTGTTACAAATTCCTCTTCCTGCATCTTCCATGTGAAATGATCACAGGGATGCTCACAGGCTATCTTGTTTCCATCTGCCACAATCACTGACTGTCCAGGGACTTGTTTAATTTTACATCCCAAACTCCTAGCAGTATCCAAATTAAGGAAATTATGAGTACTCCCAGAGTCCACCAAAATATGAAGAGGTCTTTTGTTCACCAGGCCCCTGACTCTCATAGTTTGGTAACTATGCCCTCCTGTCAATGCCTGTACAGAGATGCAAGCATCATTCCCTTCAGTCATTGTAATAGGGTCAAGTTGGACCAACTCCTCCTCTAGGACATCTGTGGAATCCACCTCTGCAGGAATCTCCACAGTAAATAGTTGTTGTTCTTTAAAGCTGCACTTATGACCTTTCTCAAAGGGCTTATCACAATAATAGCACAATCCTTTTGCTATTTTTTCTGCCCTGACGTCTGCAGGTATGTACCTGAAGCCTTTATTGGGTTGGAAATTGGCTGGCTTAGTTTGAGGAGTGGGTAGAAGGGGAGGTTTGGAAGAATTATGGGCCGGAGGTTTGTTGAGCTTGGAATATTTGGAATACTCCACCTCCAGTGATTCTTCCTTCAATCTTGCATACTCAATAGCCTGGGCTATGCTACTTGGCTTAAAGGCCCTAACATACAGCCTAATGCTGGCCTTCAGCCCTCCAACAAAGCAGTCCAAAATGTATGAGTCAGGCAGGTAATGGTTGTTTTGCACCAGTACAAATCTTAAGTCCTCAAATTCATCAATATAATCTTCTAATGACCCCTTCTGCTCCAATTTTTTGAACTGTTCTACAACATTGTGTCCTCTGTCATCTCTGAACCTTGCGCTCAGATCTATGATAAACTCATGCCATGATACAAATTTTCTAAAGGACAAGTAACTTGACATCCAGTTTTCAGCCCTTTCCACCATGTACAAGCTAGCTATATCCACCCACTGTTCCTCTGGAATTTTACACAAGGTGAAATACTTACTTGCCTTTTTGATCCAGTTCCTCGTATTGCTTCCATCAAACCTTGGAAACTCCAATTTAGGGTTGAAATTGAGGTTTCTAGCATTTGAATGGCTTCCATCCCCCTCTGACGCAGAGGCACCTTCCTTTCCCTTTCGAGCTTTTGATTCCAGTTTCTTCAGGATCATCATGATCTGATCCAACTTCAGATCCTGAGCATTGATCCTTTCGTCAACCCCTGCGAATCTGCTCTCCATCGTCTTCAATTGAGCCTCCATATCTATGAGATTACAATCTCAATCTCAACCGTAGGCCGTTGACGTGAACCGAGCAGGGAAACAGCTCTGATACCAATGTTATAGCAAGATAATCCTTGCTATAAGGATTGCAGAAATAGCGGATGAGACGTAAGGAAGAAGAAAGATCAGAAGATATTTTGAGAAGAGAGAGAAGGGAGAGAGGATATTTTGAAAAGAAGATTGTGTTATTCATGTTTATCAATGAGAGTATACAGCAGTATTTATACACAAGCTTACGGCTACAACCTCTAACAGTATAACAACTGATTCAACTAACTACTAGCCACGTCAGTTAAGCCAGCTGTAGCATGCTCCCCCTATCAAAAACACAAGAGAGTGCAAAACTCTTCATTTGGAATCTCCAGGTGCAATTCTTCGCCTCGATTTCCCCAATTTTTTTGGTCAAATCTTTGATTATGAATCGTGGGTTGATTAATAGCGGGATTCGATACCTAATTTAGATTCATATTCCGCGTAATTAGATTGGGGAGGAAAGTGAAAGAAAGCAACCACATTCGTGACCAAGCATAGGTTATTCTTTGAATGAAGTTTAATTGAGTTTTAAATTGCAGCCTAGAGGAATCAAAATGTAAGTTTATTTAAATCTTAATTTACACTTATTACATAAAATAATGTAATGAGGTAGTTGTAACTTTATTATTTTTGGTGTTTAGTGATTCATGACATATTGGACTGAGGTTATATGTTTTATGGCTATTTTGTGTGCCATATGTTCAAGTTCCTTACAATTACATTAGGAGTGTGATTCCTGCTATTTAGTGAAGACATGTAGCTTCTTTGAGTTGTCATTTGTAAAAAAATATATTTATTACATGAGCTACAGGTGGATTATTTTTACTTAGTCATCGTTCGAGGTGGCTATCTGTAATTAGCATATCAGCGGGCAGCGCTAAAGCCGCTAGGAAAAACAGCTAGACAGTCGAAGTTCTCAAAACCCTATATGTGAATCCAGACGATTGATATACTGCAGAGAGCTGGAGCCGAGGTTATAGTGGCTTCAGTGGAGAAGGAGCTCCGGGTGGACGCCTTACATGGATTCAAAATCATAGCCGATATACTTATTTCTGATTGTGCCAATATTGAGTTTTGGTCTCCTTTCTCTTCCTGTATGTTTCGCATAGGGTTCCATTGATTGAAGTGTAGTGTCTAAGTTCCGTTTCTGCTTGGCCGTTTGGCCAGCCACTATTCCTGGATAATGACTATTTTAAATTTCATATTTTAACCGTGTTTCTTAATGTTTGACAGACTTAAGAGTTGGACTACTGCCGTTGAGGTAAAGTTTAAAACACGAATGTATTCTATTGATGTCTTTATAAAGTCATGCACCCACTTTCCCCCAAGAATTTCATTTGTGTTTTCTTACTCCTATTTTTATTTTCCTTATTTGAATGAGTAGAAAATGGTGGACAGTGAATAATGATAGGAATGATAGCAACCTTTGAAGAATTTTATGCAAACCAAATATAAGAGGAATATAATGGAGAGTTTCTAAAAGAATATGACTGTTTGTTGGAGAATGATTATTTGTAGGGTGCATCACTGGATTGTGGAGAACACAAGATGGGACAATGGCACTATACACTAGAATGGGGGGAGTTCTCTTTCAAATCTGCTTACAGTGCCATTTTAGAACCTAAAGAAATCCACTGTCCTAGCAACTTTGCTTGCAGAAATTTCAAGTCCCCAATGTCTAACTCTTCAATTGGAAAGTAACTAATAATTGTTTGGCTTTCCCTAATTATCTCACTAAATATAATATACACGTGCCACATTAATATAGATTAGTGAACAAAATAGAAAAAAACATTATTTGATTAATCTAGATTTCTGCTGAGAAACCCTTTAAGTGTGAGAGAGTTGCCTTAGAGCCACCAGACCACTCTTCACCGTCCACCGACCAACACGCCAATTTTTCAATGTGCAATGAACTGGTATGTCCCGATTGAGGTTCCTTCTTGGTTTTTACTGATATGACTATTTAAAATCATTGTTTATTTGTTTGATTTAATAAAGCATTATTTGATTCTTCATCTGTGTGTGGCGCATCAAGGTCAATTTACAGAGCTTGTACGGCCTACATAAATCAGAGTGTATAGTTCAATCCTTTACATTTTTTTATGTTGGTGTCGTTCAAAAGAAAGGTAATGCAGCTAATTTTTTAAAATATCGTCTTTGTTAAAAATGCATTTATTCCATTAACGTAAAAAAACTGAGGTGAAATTCATCAATTCTTTACACAACTATTTCTTTTGTTATTTATTGATCAGTGCAGACTTTTTTCCACAGGTATTTCAGTTGCAAAGAAAATACACATTTTATGTGTTTCATCAAAGGTAATATTCTTTAATGATCATTACTTATTACTCTTTTTTAAGGTATAAAATCTTTTTTTTCAATTTTCTTCTTATAGGGGATTTGGTCTCACTATCTCCTTTTCTACTTAATAAAACACTCTTTTCTTACACACACACCTTGGTACATCATAGTGAAAAATGTATATAGATAAAATTTGCGATATTTTAATCATGATGATAAAATTTGCGAGTCATTAACTTCTGGGGTTTCGTCTTGCAGAATTTGATTGAAGATTTTGTAGAAACAAAGAATAATCAATTTGAACGAAACAGAGATGATATCACTGGTTCTACTGTCAACAAAAGAATGAAAGAGGTGGAACATTGTGATGGAGACGGGGATGAGTCGAGCAAGAAGATGAAGATCGTTATAATAGAGAAAAATTAGGAATATATATTTTATGTTAGGCTAAGAGTATTTTTTTGGATTGATTTATGTGTCACATAGCTTTTTATTTGTGGATTGATTTATGTGTCACACAATTTATAATCTATAATTTTTGGATTGTTTGTTGTTTAGTTTTTAAAATACAAAATTTTGTGGCATTTGGTATTATAAAAAAGATTGCATGTTTGAAGAATATATACTCAATTCAATATCCTTACTCATATAGTATACTTTTACCATTTATATGCTTCATATTTTTATAACATAGATTAATGTTATTTTCTTAAATTTTCAATTTCATTGTTTTTTGTTTTTTAAATCAATTTATAAAAAAGGTACTAATTATGATTTTTTCATTTCTTTTCATTTATAAAAAAGGGAGTTGGATTTACTAATATCAATTAGGATTAAATAGTTTGAACATGAAAAATTTGAGTAAACTAATCCTACGTACTGAAATATTTTTTTAATGTTTAGTATGTATGTTTTTAATATGTATAATATTTTTTATTCTTACCTACTCAACATCTCCCATTAGAAAAAATAATAGATATGTTTGGTATCTACAATTTTTTTATTTTTAAAGATATTGGAAAAAAAAGAAAAGTCAGTAAATAAAAATTAGGAATAAGGTGTTATATGTTTTCAAGACGTAAATGTATAAAAATTAAAAAAAACAATGTTATAGGTTTTCGGTATAACATTAGTTTCATAAATTTATATTTTCTTTCTTTTCCTTTATAAAAATATCAAATATTAGTCACATACTAAATACGTTGTTACATTACTTTCCATTATATTTTCTCTCTTCTCATATTAAAAAAACTGTTATAAAATGAGAGAAAAACTACTCAGAGATTATGAGAATAGATATAATATATTTCTGATTTCTTCTCTCTATTAACTCTTCACTCTTCTTCTTATTCTTAATGGTGATTACAATGCAGGGATTAGGCCTCTATTTATAGTGGAGAGCCTTGGTATGGATACAAATACAAGTGGGAAGTACTGTACATAATTGATACTCATCAATGGTTGTCTTAATCTACTATTCTAGAAAATAGGCCTGATTAATTGAATAAATGAACAATCATTAATTTCATAACAAAAACGAGATAGTCGGAATATTAGAGAGTATTAATTGGTGGTAAACAATTTAAGCATACAAAATTAAAACACCCTCCAATTACAAAGAAACAACATTTAACGAAATTGTTTTATTTCTAGACTTTTTTTCAAGTCATATTTTCAAGCTCCTGCACATATAAAAGAGAATCAACAACTATAATATACTACGTATAAAAAAATCTTTAAACGTACTTAAATAGGATGCCCTCTAGCTCGAATATATTATCACACTTTACCTTTTTCTGGGCAACCTATGCAATTTTGGACAACAAGTAAATAACAATAATATTTATTTAACTAAGAGAATCACCAAGTATAATACACTATGTATAATGGTACATGGTAAATCGTTGAAGAATTGCGAAGAAATGTTATCGGTGCAATTGTTGTATCAGGAAATAATGTCGGGGAGCAAGTTTACATACCCCGGATTAATTTGGTACCGTCTGATCCTTGACTACCATTGAGATTTCAAAGAAGACAACTTTATGTTTCAGTTTCAAGAGTGAAAACAAAGAAAAGATTGAAAGTGTTAATTTTTGATGATAGCGGTAACCCTTGCAACAAAACAAAAATATTGTATACCCTCATGTTTTCCAAAAGATTTGGATTTAAAATTAGAAATATTTGCTCTAAATAACACTAAAACTTAAGTCATTTCCCTAAATATCATTTAAATTGTTTTATTTCTTAAATAGCACTTAAGAATGTTCATAATGTCCAGTGATGATAAATATTTTACTTGAATAATGACTAAAAGTGCTGCATTGGAAAAAACACATGTGATACTATTTAGAGAAAGTCATTATGTTTTAGTGCTATTTAAGTAAATTTCCCCTTAAAATTATACCTTTACATGTTCTTTTTGTTTTGTATGTATATGAATTTCGGATATCACATATTTATGGTATATCGCCCATTAAATTCTACAGTTCGATATTATAATTCGCTTTATTTATTATCATTAACTAAGAAGAAAAAAATAAGTGAGTAAAAAAACAAATCGTTTCACCCCGTGCGTGACACGGGTTAGAATACTAGTATTAAAAATGTTTGAACCATTGGTTCAACCACTCGAACCACTGGTTCGACCAGTAAACCAGTGAACCAGTGCTTTGACCGGTTCGATGACCGATCCGGTTTTTAAAACTATGTGTATTACATAGTGATGGCATCAAAAAAAAATTCCTTGAAAAAAAAATCAGTGTCTTGATTACATTGGAGTTTATGTTTATTATAAAATAACCATACTTATGTTCTTTTGTGGGACTTAATTTAGCCAAGTAAGTTTTTTTGAAAAGGCTAAATGTCTTATCGGCCCGGTTCCATGGCCACTGGATTTCAGTGGCCACAGAAGCCACTGCCCCCTTACGGAGCTCCGTTCATAAAATTGATGATTCATACCCCCTCTAACCCCCCGGTAGACCCCCCCGCCAAGTCCCGACCCAAACTAATCACCACACCTACGTCAATTGAACCTCGTAAGTATAAAGTCAAAACTTTTTATTTTAAAGTCAATTATACTTACGAGGTGCAATTGACGTAGGTGGGGTGATTAGTTTGGGTCGGAACTTAGCGGGGGGTCTACCGGGGGGTTAGAGGAGGTAGGAATAATAAATTTTATGAACGGAGCTCCGTATGGGGGCAGTGGCTTCCGTGGCCACTGGAATCCAGTGGCCATGAAACCGGGCTCATGTCTTATTTACATTATAGCTAGTTTATGTTTTAAAAGTATTTAGAAGTCTAGGACATTGTTTTTTGTGTACCAAGATCTACTCCCTCCGTCCCATAAAGTGTTACCCATTTTGACTAAAGTGGAAATTAAGGGAGGGATAATTTTGTGTTGACTTTCCTAAAATAACCTTGATTTGATGTGTAAAAGTAGGATGTGATGTGTAGATTATAAGGAAAAAGGTATGATGTGATAGGTAGGGTTTGAAAAAGTAAGGGGTAAAAGTGGTTTTTTAATAGAAATGGGTAGGAGATTGTGGGACGCAATTTTTTTGAAAGGTGTAAATCTTTTTGGGACGGAGGAAGTATTTGATTTCAAGTGATGAGCAATACATGTGTAAAAGGGAACTATCTTTCAACACTCCCTTTTTTCAACTCATTTCCTTTTAGAGTTTACAACTGTAAATTTAGTTAAACATTTGATAAAAATGGTCTAAATGTAACCCTTTTCTTATATGACTTTAGAAGTAATCATTAAAATTAGAATTAGGAACATTGCACGGACAGAAGCAAGTACCCATTATAATTTAAGCTTAGTTTCACTTCATTATAATATAATTACATGGGGGAACATAACATAGAGAAAACATAAAAATAAACTAAAGAGGAAGAAACATTTCTCCAACATGTTGATATCTATCATAAAAAACATCATTCAGATTCATACACTTACAAAATTCACACATATGGAAATCATCTACTAATTGAAAAATTTAACCTCCTTATCCATGTACTTGCTAGGATGACAGAATTGGATAGTTAGTATTGTGTTGACCTTCCCTTCTCGATTTTTTCATGGAAATCCTCCATGTGATGGTTCGATAGTGTGCATCCAATCCTTATTCCCCTTTTAATTTGTTTTCAAATTAAAAGTTTAGCATATGAATAGTATAGCAACTGGAAATGTTATATTTAAGAAACATGTTTATCATGATACAATAACTTCCACAATGAGATTCATTTACCTGTTCATCATGAAAGGTAATATCCATTGTTTTCCGTCCTCAATCCTGGTGTGACTCGTGGTATACCCTAATGGCTCTCATGCGAGGCCCCCAATCTATCCGACTGTTGTCCACTTCCCTGCGAAACGACCACATCCTGACTCTGCCCCTTGATAGGCCATTACTTGCCATGGTAGGACACTCGAATATAAACACTGGATATTAAGACAATATATTAGCGATCGATACTTTTGAGTTTCACAAGATTTTCAAGGGAGTGATGGTTGTATTTATAGCCATCTTCAATGTTTGTGAACTGTGGTGGAGACGTGGGAGAAGTTGGGAAGTAGTGGGATGATTAGACTGTCACTATCATTAAATATATATTATATTTATTGTAGAAATATTATTATGGTAGAAAACCGAGAGTAGGCGTGCCTGCATCAGTTGAGGGTGTTTTCTAAATTTTATTATTATTATTATTATTATTATTATTATTATTATTATTATTATTATTATTATTATTATTATTATTATAAGAAGTATAAAAAATTTTAAAATTTTAATGTACCAATATTAATAATAATTTTGCCTTTTTCAGGTTGATATTACAGCCGGTTTACAGGAATTGAAGTTGAGGGCAAGGGAGTGGTCGTGCATGAATCACTTCTTTATTTGTGTCGAATGTTATGTTTAGAATATGTATTAATATTATTATTGATATTTTTGAATTCCAATTGTCAGTATAATAATAACAACAACAACAACAACAACAACAACAACAACAACAACAACAACAACAACAATAATAATAATAATAATAATAATATTGTTACTATTATTCTTCTAATTTTGAATGCATGTGTTATTGTTGAGAAAGAAATTGCAAAATTTGTTTAAACTTTTGGGATTCTAGACCCGATTAATAAAAAGAGACTCAAAGAAATCATAAAAATAATAGGTTCCAATAATAAGTAAAATAAATATAGCAATTATTATCATCAGTAGGAATATTTTTAACATTTTTTTTGAAATTTATTTTCATATTAATCTCTGTTGAGATGCTACATTATTAAAAATTT